AGACCGTTGGGCCCGTACCCGGACTGGCCCGACCCGTGGCCCTGGTCGACCCAACGGCTACTAGGTATGGGCAGGCGCGGATTCTGACAGGTTGCCGGACCGACCCGGCAAATATAAAAAATATTTAAAAAAAAAAAAGATTGAAACCGTTGCCGGCGGTCGGCCCGTGGCCCGACCCGGCCCGCACTGGACCGTTGGGACCAAATTTATTTTTTTGAACCTGGACCGAACCGCGGCCCTTGCGGTTCAGTCCTACGGACCGGACGTTATATGGCCGGTTACGGGCCGGTCCGGGCCGGTTCGATGCCAGTTTCCGGTCCGAGTCGCGGGCCGGTTTGGCCCGTGGCCATGTCTAGGCGTGACGGGCTGTTGTTGGGCTCTCTGCCCAGGCGTGGCGCTGGTCGCGGATGGCACCACGGCGCGAGAAAAATGGGTGCCGCGACGTGGGATGTCTTCACGGCGCGAAGGGAGCTGGTGTCGCGCCGCGGAGGTGTTGCCGCGCCACAGCACGCGGGACTGCTGGCACACTTCGCTTCTCAAGCACGTTTGGACTCGTCCGAACTCGGAATTCAATTCTGCTTTTTCCTACGCGTTGCCAACGAAGCCCTCTATTTATTGATGCTCTCTTGACCAAATTATTCTTAAAATCCTATTTTCTTAAAACTCTTGATCTATACACTAAACGTATTTCGCGCGACTTCGCTTTTTGGGCCCGTTCGAATTCGTTCAAGCTCGAAATTGAGTTCCGCTTTTTCCTATATGTCGCCAACGAACCTCTCTGCACAACCATGATTGCCCGGTCAATTTTCGAGCTAAATCTATTTCTCAGGAACCTGACATGCACACCAAAAACGAAGAAAAACCGGAAAAATACACGAAAAACACATAGAAAACTAAAATAGAGCAAAACATGAAATAAACTACAAAATGACCTATAACCCAATGAAAAGACCTAAAATGGGGGAAAAAGAAATGAAAAATAATAAGGAAAAACGTNCTAAATATATTAGAAAAAAAAAGTGTTACAAACAACCCATTGACAGTGTAATTTGTACAAGAAAGACATATCAACAAAGGGGCCTACCAAAAACCAATCAGATTTTGTTGTGAATAATGATAAAGACCAACTTGAAGAAGTATTTTTGCTATTAAAGTAAAAATGAACTCTTACACAGCAATGTTCAGTTTGGAAGTTGAGGAAAGGTCTCAGAATTAGGATTACAACCCCTGACCATCATCTCCTTGTACATTGCGTACGCACGATCCATGTCCCCACACGTGCTATACGCTCTAATCAGAGCATTATACGTAAATACATCGGGCTTAATACCCATTAGCTTCAGCTCCTTGTAAATATTCTCAGCTTCCTCAGCCTTCCCAGCAATTCCAAGATTATATATCAAACAATTAAAAGTATAAAGATTGGGCTTCATCCCCCGGCCCCTCATCTCATCCAGAATAGTCAATGCCTCCTTCACTTTTCCTGCTCGACTGAACCCATTCATGATAATATTGTAACAGAACAGATCTGATATCCTATTTGCAATGTCCACTGCAAACAATCTTAGATAATCCTGGTTTAGTCTTGCCAAATATGTTTTTAGTTTTTGAAATTGTTAGCAAATAACTTAAGATTGATTTACCAAAAAATGAGGGTGATATTAAGAAATAGCTTTAGCAACAACATCAACATTAGCCTTTACTAGGAATGTTACACAAGCCCTGACCTATGCATAGCACATTACATAAACAAAATTACCGTAATCAATAAGATTATATAAACAGGATTACCATAATCGGACCATCCATAACATAACAGATATACTTGTTACAACCAAATTGTTGTACAATGACAACTGGTCACACCATCAAACCCAAATCCAAAAGCACATACCCACACGGGTGTGTTAATCCAACAATAAAAAATCTAAAAAAACTCGATAACAGAAATATGGTCGAATTAACCATTTTTTTTACTCGTTCCAGGTCAACCCAGTTGGGCCAACAGGTCCAGACAATGTTTAAAAACTTTTTCCAAGTCTGACAAGACCATAACAAGTAAAACTCGTCATGTCAAGAATTAAAGTGAAAAACAATCTCATTTAATCCAATGAGATCCCAACAGAATTACTCGATTAAGAGAAAATATGTCAACAATCAAACAATAATCATGTGACAAAAAGAAGACCAAACTTTGCAGAATATAACTATTTATTCACACGAATTATATCCAAGTTCAAATATATAAGATCACGCTTAATGCCCAAGAGCAAAAAATCGTACATCCAAAATGCATTATATAACCAAATCAGAAATGAAACTTGCACAAAGAAACCGATCCTGAAAAAAGCTACTGCTAAGGAAAACGACAACATAGAAAACAATACAAAGTTCGATCCTAGATAGAGCATTTTAACCTCGTTCTAGACAGAGGCAATTAAGAGGCATACTCGGAGACGAGTATTTGTTGGAAAAATCTAGAGCAAACGGCAACAGGAAAGGAAGCCACATTATGTTGTAAGTCAGTCCAAGCAAAATTATTTTCTCGTCCTGAAAAGTTTAATCAGCAGGCTCTTTCATATGTTCCACGCTTAACCTGGAGAGAGAGAGAGAGAGAGAGAGTCAAATGTACAGTTCGCAATACGCAAATGCATTTCCTTATTAGTTAATCAAGGACTAATAAGGTGCATTATGTATCATGTCTGGAATAAAAGAAACAAGCATCATTTCACTATTTAAGTCAAGGACTAATAAGGCGCATTATGTATCATGTCTGGAATATTTGAATAAAGAAAAAAGAGAAGAAAAAAGCATCTCTATTCATCAGCATAGCAAATCCTATCTGGCAGAAAACCTTTGAGGCAGCTTATCTATTTACAAGTAAATATTCTCGACTCGAACTAATTAACAGTCACATCAATGTGCATTGTTTTGCCCACGTAAGCACAACAAAACCGACCATCTCCCTCCACCCACCATTTATAACACTGAATCATAACTGTTGAGTGTCACTTGATAATTAATAACTTCCATTTTCTTCTTGTAGTGATCAAGCTAGGGATGGATTCCTTTGACATTGACATCCTCTTCAAACAGTGAAAGAGAACAAAGCGGACAAGCGTAAATATCAAATGGATTATTTTCTTATTATGAAAATTCGAGTGAAATATTCAGTTTCTATACCCCTCCACCTTGACGTCAAGGAAACAAGGTATACACAAGGAAAATGTATAGAACAGGAACAGGTTCTTATTTTTCACTATGCACTTATGACTAGAAAAACAAAACTTAATTTCACCCTTCCTATCCCCAACTTGTTTGGGACTAAAAGGCTATGTTGTTGTTGTTGTTGTTGTAAAAGCCAACATTCATAAACTTCATCAACCGTGAGACCCTAGCCTGAAGTGTGTTGGAACCCATCAGTCGATATATGAAAGTAAGGCGTGGGCACGTTCTTCTTTTTATGAGCAAGTGAGAGATTGGGAAAAAGGGAAAGGAAGGTTTTGCGAAAGAGATATTCAATGGCCTTTCATCAGCATTAACATAGGGCCTTCCCGCTAATTCTGTTCTTTGTACCAACATACTTGACTTCTATGACTGAACTTCGCTTTGCTTCTAAGTTGGGTCTTTAACAAATTCGTAATGGCGTAGCGGTTCCAAAATGTTGCTAAAGGCCCGGCTGGAGGCTTGACGGCTCTGCCCCAGTAGTCCTAGCCGTAAACGATGGATACTAGGCGCTGACCACATCCCACTTTTTTCATTAGAATCATAGGCTCGCCTTGTATATATATAAGCTGCTTTTCCTATTTCGATCTACACCCCAAGCCATGAAATAGGTCAATTACATCGAGCCTGTAAGGAAGGGAAAGGTGAATTGCAAAGTCAAGGGGTCAAATCCCTTGAAACATCAGGTTAGCAAAGGTTCCAATCAGGAAACTAAAACCTTTCGTTAGTTCAAAATATAAAGCTCCTTCGTTTTCAGAAGTCACATACCCTTATGAACTATATTTCTTTAAGTCCGCATTAAGTGCGCAAATTACAGTTGTTACAAACATACGAGTTGATGATATTCAAGGGGAAAAAAAGTGTCAAAACACTTCTAGATAATCACAGATATTCAACAATTTCACTTTAACTTTACTTAGAAGATGGTCACTTCAGAGTTTAATTTAACAAATTTCATCAATTTGTGTAACTTCATCAGTTATTCAGTTCCATACCAATTAACACGACCTTACTATGCTAACCACGGCACACAGAAACTGCTTCAAACACAAAATGACTGACAGAAAAAAAAAGTTCATCACATAGAGTCAAGGAGAATTTCGAAAGAAAATGGCACCAGGCATTTCGTTTCAGCATCACATTGAAAATTACCAAAAAGCAAAACGTAAGATCCTACCAGAGAATTAGTCCAGAATTATGACATCATCATCCGAATCCTCAGGTTGAAAAGGTCCTTTTACACCATTTTTACTATTCCCGAGTAGCTCACGAGCTGCTTTCTCAAGAAACTCCTGAGCCGCAGTACGAACCGATTGCCTCTCAGACGATTGGAATTTTCTCTTCTTCTGTAGATTTTTGTCCAAATAGTTGATCCTTTGATCTACCCCTTGACTAATTTTCCGCATGCTTTGCCTCTGCTCTGCAAAAATAGGCAATTATTCAAATGACTAATAATTGGAAATTATTATTCACACTTCAGATGAACAACTCATACCAGATGAAAGATCAGGTAGGGAATGCTCGATAAAACGGGCTGCCGCCTTAGGATTAATGGTGACTGACGGACGCAATGGTGCTACAAACATAGAAAAAAATTATTCAAGAAATATCAGTATTTAAAAATTATAGCCAGTAGTAGTTGGAACTAGAACCACCAAAAGCAGCCCCACTATCTTATGTTAAAAGTGTAAATTTTGATGCCTTTAAATAAACATCAAAAGACATGCACAGCACGACTCATTACATACTCTTATTTGTACTGGCATAATTGCTATATATGTGGGTTTCAAGATAAGATGAATATAGAAGAACCACGCACAGAAGTGCAAGAGACTACGAAAAATTATTATGATAGAAGTATTAGATTCAATGAAAACAGCAGTAACTCATAACTCATTGACAGAAACCAATGTTTTCTTTGCAGGATACTTCCCCTTACCTTAATTTCTGAAAACAGCACAATAAAGCCAATAGTCCAAAATTCACAATATGAGTACTATTTAGTCATTGAGGTAACGAGTGTGAAAGGGGAGAGAATTTACCTTTGTTCAAGTCCATGCACTGTTGCAGTTTTTCTTGGTACAAGCTCAATCTTTCCTGAACACATGACCATCAAAGCATATAGCCGCTATCAGATAAACTGACAAATATAATATTGACTATTGGAAACTGCATAAAACCAGTTGAGACATCACTTCCAAGTTATCACAAATACCTTAAGATGGTAAGGTAAGAACCAAACAATTAAGAAAAAACAGCACGGAAATAAAATTGGGACCGATCATTATTATCTAATACTCAGCCCAAAGTCATCGAGCAACTTACTAAGTGCACAAACAGAACACATGTGTTCATCCAACCTTAGTGTTTAGCGAGAAAAATCCACAAAGCATACACAGGATGGCGAGAAATCATCTTCAAAGGATAAATCATTAATTAAGGAACAATTTCATCCAGTATAACAACCCTAATAACATCCACATGAACAATGAGAGACTAACATAGCAAAGCATGACAGTAAATCACATGAGCTATACCACATTAAGAACATTTAATAACAAACAGTCACCAAATAATAATAATCATAGACAAAGAAAGTATCAAAATTCTTGCATCTGAGAAACGCTTACAAACTCCTTTCTGACAGGATGATCATCTGGATTCACACCCTTGCATCTTAGCCTCACTGCAAGAAACACCACAAATAAACAACATAACCAGAAACGAATGGAAAAGGAAGAAATAAAGCACACAAGTAATTGAACAAATCCAAGAAAATTAACTTTGGGGGAAAAAAATAGAACAAGAAAAGTTGGGAGCAGTTGCATGTCCAGAATAAACAAGGAGGACTAACATGAATAATAAAATAAAATTCAACATACAAGCAAAGAGAGTAGTTGTGGCTTTGGCTAGCAAGAGAAGGACTTGGGCTCTTTCTAAAGGCTCCATTCTTGAAAGGGTTTCATGGGTACAGTAAGACAAAAACTCCTCCAAATTCTCTTTTACATCATCAATGTTGTTGGATGTTCGCTTCAACGCCCCAATTATTGATTCCGGTATCACTTTGCTGCTGCTACTGCCACTGCCAATTTCCATCTTTCACCCCTTTACCTAATTAATTGGCAATATTTCAGTGTTGTTTTTTCAGCTGTGCGGAGTATACACCGTTTGAGGCTTGTAGGCGTAGTGAGGTAGGGAATCCATCTCGGAATATTTCAGTAACTTTAGCGTACCTCATGTTTAGGATATTGGAGCAAAGCCCCAAAAGTTGATAAAATTACACACGACGCCAACAATTAGTTAGACTTAGGGGTGATTGTTTATGAATTCAACCAATAGTTTTTATTTGGTTTATTTTTTTAATTATAGTAAATTTTGAAAAAAAAAAGTGATATGTTAATTGTCAGTGGATATATTAAAATATTATTTAAATAAAATAATTAAAGTTGATTTGATATAACGTAGGAGAAAAAATGAATGAAAGTGATAATTAAAATTATTTGAGTGGATGAATAACGAATTAATGTTGATGTGATGTCAGTATAAGAATTATTGGTTGATATTCTTTGATTATATTGATAATATTGAGGATAGTGAGGTTGGGTCAAAGTTGAGTTTTGATTGATTTTTTTTTTTTAGTTGAATCCATAAACAATCACCCCCTTAGTGATTCGAGATAAGTACATGTGACCAATATTTTTTAAAGTACTTTTTTCATTTGGCCCTAAAATTCATTTCCACCACATGGAGCGATGCCTCTGAGGTAGATACCAATTTGTCTTTATGGAGAGACAATAATGTAGTAGTTTATATAATGTTAAAAAAAAAATATCATCAATTTTAATGACACGATTGGTTATTTCACATAGATATTTATAAATTGTTAGTAGAAATACCTTTTAAAGATCATACAATCATGAAATTTGACTATATGGTTGACCAGAATATTTCTAAGTGTTTGAATAAAGTATATGTTCTGTTAAACGAATTAAAAAGAATTTAGCAATACTATTAATGTATTGAGCTCCAACGAGCATGAATGTATTTTATGAGGACGTCAAAACCAAAAGAACGAAAACCACTCCTGAATAATCTAACATGAATAAACAAAAGACCTAATGCATCTATAATATACATTAGGTTCTTATTTAGTTATTTAGTGTTTTTTTTTTACTAGAGACTCATTTTTCATATATTTTTGTTGGGGGTAGTAATATACTATTTCATTACTTTTATCATTAATTTTATATTAGAATATTATTATGCTATTTAAAAAAAATGAGGAGCTTGTTCTACATTTTATTGTGTTCCTTCAATGATATGTTTAATAAATTAATTACTTAATTTTACTAAAATTAACCGGCCAAAAACTTCGCCACCACGTGCATCGCGCATTCACTTTCCTTAGATTGAAGCAGTGTCTTCCAATCGTCAATTGAAAATTTCAATTGCTGAAAATAATACAATGAACATTTCAATTATCATGACCGACAAGTTGAAAATCGAAACTTGAAATCATTGATTAACAGTTCGGAAGCACTTTAGGAAGTTCAAGAAAATAAATTTATATTATATTTTTAATAAAAATCTAACAAAGGAATCTCCGATAGTAGACATTCAATATAAAGTGCATTCTAGCCAAAAATAAAAATAATAAATACAATGCAGAACTTTAACAATGATTTGAATAAATTTTGAGGTACCGTATAATGAAAATTATTGTGTCATTGAATAGGCCGAGTTGAGAGATTTAATACTGTATATGATTTGTTTCAATCTTCCCCCAACAATGGCGAAAACTGATGACGGTGTAGGACGATAATCGTTTGCTTTTAACGTTTTGTAACAGAAGTGATTCATTATTTAACGTTCAAACAAAATTGTTGAAATATCAGATACCTAATGCAAAAATCAATATATTTTGAGTAACAATAACTATATTTTTCTCATTTAAAATATGAGAATATAATAGGGTAAAAGAAAATAATAAAAAAATGTTATCCCTCCCTTAATATAATTTCAAAACGTGCTGAGCTAAATGGCTGGCTCGCACGCTTCGGAAGCTTACTTGGCAAGATTACATGTTTCGGCTTTTGGTTCGGATCAAACTTAATCTAATTATATTCCAAAATAAATATGAAGAGTTTGATTCTTATCAAATACAAGAGTTTGATTCTTATCAAATAAATCCCATGTTAATCAATTGTTTCACGGGATTTCCGAGGTTCATTTCATCTATTTGTCCTCTCTTTAGTTTGTTATTTTCCTAAATTCATCGTCTTCTGTGTTAGGCAAAGCAGTTGGCAGCGCACAGATGTTACCAAAGTTTTTCAAGCATTTCCCTGAGCTTTCTGAGCAAGCCTTAGACCAGCATATCTCTTTGTGCGAGGATGAGGAGCTTGGGGTGAGTGATTTATGTTCGCTTAGAAGCATTTGGTTAGGCGTTTGTCCATTATTGTACCTTAAGGGCGATTTAGAAGAAAAAACTATTTTCTTGCTGAATTCAGATGGCTAACTTTGTATATTAGATTGAAAGGTTAATGTGGTTTGCCTCATTAAGGTGAACTAGGCATGGATGGATTAACTCACGGAACTGAACTCTCTTTCCCTACTCTATAATTGATTAGCGGATATGATGTGTTTACAGGCATGGCTGGCTTGCTAAACCTGCATAACTATAGGTTCCTTTTGATGTTCTTCTTGGATTACAATTAACAGGAACCATATTGTCATACTCCATAAAAAAAGCCTAGCATGCTGAAATTGTCACTCTGACCAAATTTCTGCTCTATTGGTTGAGAGAAAACAATAAGAGTATATGTTTGCTTTTTGTTAATATTACTTATTCTCAAGGCATCCCATGTATATTGCGTGTAGTCACACACTCACATATCTAAAAGATTTTGTTGGTTGTTTGTTCTTTGTTGATTGCTATAGGTCCTCGTACAAGCTATTCGCGGGCTTCCTCTATTCTGCAAGGATACACCTGAACATCTGGTGAAAATTGTTGACATTCTTGGTCAACTCCTAATTGCTGGTACTTTAATGTTTGAAATCTCTATTGGGTTCTTAATAGTTTATTAACCTGTCTTTTTTTATAACAATTATTATTGTTGTGGTCATGATTAGGAGATATTGTGGAGCGTGATGCAGTGCATAAAGCCCTTACGACTTTGTTGCGGCAGGATGTCAAGAGTAAGTTCTGACTATAAGTATACTTTGAAAATCTTGTCATTTCTATTTTCTGTCATTACATATTAATCTAATTAATTAATGAAAATCGTCCATAGATTAATTGATCAAAGACTAGAAAATTATTTTATTAATTTGACCAAAACTTCTAGCTTGAATAAGCAAATTTAACATTGTGCGATTAAACATGCACATATATCTGTATATTGAAAAGAGTGTTGTTATGTTGTATTGTATAAACAGTTTATGCATATAAGTTATTCTGTTCTGTTTGTAATATTTATTTATATTTTTTTATTTTTTGTTATTTATAACAATGAAGAAATTTTATGGTAATCTAATTCGGTGAAGTGTGGTAATGCGATGTCCGTGTATGCTTACTGTTGAATGTTTGTATGAGATTTCGACTAAAATTGGATCAAAGATTTCAAAAAATTAAAGTGTTAAAAAAATAATACAAATATGGGTATATTAGAATTTATAAATTAAAAACGTTCTTGTCGTTATTATAACCGTTTGAATTTAACGATCGTGTTTAATCCCCACAAACGAATACATTGATAATTTTAACAATCTTTTCAATAATAGGGTGTTTAAACATTGATAATAAATTATCCATGATATAATGAGGATGCTTGATGAAAACAACTCATTGGTGAAGTCATTTAGAATGGTCAAGGAGCGTTTTCAATTAGGTTTTACAGATAATTTGAAACTCAGGCTCAAGGAGCGTTTTCAATCAGGTTTTACAAACAACTAGTATTCGACCTTGTGCATTTGCACAAATGTAAATAAAATTAAATATTATAAGTTATATTTATGTATATATAAAAATTATAAGTTATATAATTGTATTATATTTCAAACATATAGAATTATAAGTTATATTTATGTATATAATAATAAAATTATAAATTATATAATAATATTATATTTTAAAATTTGATCATTGGTTAAATAAATAGTACACACAATTTGATTGTATACGAATCACTATATTGATTGCATACAATGTAATAAATATATACTTTTTATAATTTAAGTGATCATGATCAATTAATTAGCTGAAAAATATTAAATTTATTATAACAATTGCTTATGTGATTTTAAGAAATTTTACTATGACATAAAAAAAATTAATCTATTAATAAACAACCGCTTCATCATATAAAAAAATATTGATTTTAGTGTAAAATATAATTTTATGTAACTTTCATATATTATTTAGTATAAAATATAATTACTAATTTTAATATTAACTATTATATTATTCAATAAAAATATAATTATTAATCAATTAACATAAAATATAATGGTTTTTGTCTTAACTAACCCAAAAAAATGTAATGAAATATTTTCTTATTAATGAGATTGGGTGTATTAATGTCATATAAATAAAATTTATTAGGTTCTATTTATTAGTTTTTATTAATGATTTGCCACATAGGTAAAATTTATTAGGTTTTATTTATTAGGTAAAATTTATTGCTTAGCTAGCAATTATATATATATAGATTTGAAACTCAGGTTCATTGGAGTGAGAGAATCTGATGGCAGAACTTACAACTTTCCTATAGCTCATGAAGTTGCAGCTCTCATTGTAGGTGATATTGACGATGCATTTGATAAGAGATATATCATTATAGAGACACGTTATGGATCTATCATTATTTTCATATTTTTACTTTTTAATTAGAAGAAGAACTGATAACTTTAATAAATAATCATTATTTATTTTATGGATTGTGTAATTACACCAGGTTAGTCATCACTCGGCTTGGAGATCGCATTGTTGAGGCTAAGGTTCTATCGAGAAGGAATATTGAGACCAAAATACTTATTCCACATTTATTTTATTGTCTAACATCGAATTTTACTTGCTTAATCTCGTATTCAGTCATGGTCAACTTTATGTTGCATTATCTAGAGTTAAAAGTAGGAAAAACTTGAAAATTCTGTATTGCGATATGGATGGAAAAATTATAAATAAAATTATTAATATTGTGTACAAAAAAAATATTCAAAAATTGAAAATATC